GGAGGCGCAGTCGCAGTGGCAAATCGCGTCAAGGATGTATTATTAATAGTTTGTTCATGAATGAGCGTGCGGGTGGTTGCGTGGAGTGAATCGCAATTGTACAAAGCATGAAATATTGGAAGTGGTTGATTGGTAGCTTTTATGGTTATAGTGCTACCTGTAAGGGACTCCAAGTAATAAGAAAGCGTTTACCAGCTCAACAAACGCTAACCAGCTTCGCACGAAAGGACCTCTTATTTTGATTGCAAGATGTGACTACTTTTTTAGAGCCATTAGTAGTTTGACTTAATTGCACAAAAACTATAGCTATGGCTCCATAACGCAAAGCTAACATCAAAATAAAAACGCGTCTTCTTTTTACTGGAGCATGGCCGACATAGTGACATCAGCAAAAGCACCACCATTGGCTTGAAAGAAATGATGCGTCCCACTGATTGGTTAAGCCGCTAGTAGAACTGACCAATAGGAGTGGCAACACTGTCAGCCATTTTGACATGCCATCTCTGCCACGGTCTGGACGGAGGGTGAAATGAGGCGGAGGGTTTGAGGCGTCCGTGTTTTCATCGTGAGCATGTGAATTAGTTGCGTGGTAGTGTACATTTAAGTTGCCACTGCTGGTATGTTGGTAGGTTTACCATTTTTGAGTGAGACGTTGAAATGCGTTGTAATGTACGTAGGTGGTTGAAGTAGGTGAAGGCGTTTCATTTAAATAAACTAACACATGATAGCAAGATTCTCACTCTGATAGATTTGATTTGCACCATTCGAGTGAGGACGCCCGCGTTTTGGTGTTGATTTTCAGCCCCCTTTATTTGGCCTTAGGTAGCAACTGTCATGTTAAAGCCTACAATGTTGGGAATAGCGCGTTCTCGTGGTGCCTTAACATCGATCATTATTGACAGCAGCTTCCCAGATTAGCATGTATAAGGCAGAGACCACAAATAAGTCATTGCTGATGGAGAGGGTAGCATATGCTATAAATAGAAGGTGGCATAGACATATCAACAGCACAAGGTGTGAAGCGAGTTTCTTGCCAAGTGTAGCAATTTTTTAACGGTCAGATGGTATTCAAAGGGCAAAAGCATTCCTTTTCGATGGAAGTGAGGTTTTTTTTGTTGCCTTTACTATAGGTAACTGGAATGTACTTTCTGACTGTCTATGACGGCACTCGACTCTTTTTTGAACTCCATTTTGAGGAGGAAAAAGTGCGGCCACTCAAGCTTTGGCGCTGTGGGCTATAACAGACATACACTAGCAACAGCTTTAGCGGTACAGCGTCGTTAAACTCTCTTGTTATGTGCCAACCAATAGATCGCTCTTAGAATTCACTGAACACAACCATTGCTTACTGCTGTTGTATTTTCTATCATCTTGAATTGGGATGTCAAAACTTGCTTATGGAAGCCCATTTGACTCATGATCGTTCTCCTGCTACCTTATGGGGCGCTTATTTCTGCATTAGGGCGTCTGAATAGCGGGAGACATAGTTGAAATGTGCTTAGCTTGCAGTAACCCGTCTGGTGCGTATGACCTTGCGACGACCAATCATGTTGCAGATCCGCCAGGCGAGGCGACCAATAGAAAGCCTGAACGGGTTACGTATGTTACATGTCGCGCATGTCGTGCTTCATAATTTCAAACCAATAAACTGGGTCGGGAATAATTATCGTTGACAATTAGTAATCCAAATACCAATTCTGACGACTTCGAACAAGAAGAATAGGTCATGACGTTTGTAAAGATGGTATTGCGCGATTTAGGGCGGCCTTTGTTCTTAGAGACTCGACCCTTCTGTTTCCACATTTTCACGCACATATAGTTAAAACGAAGCGAAAACGTTTCTCAAGGCTAAATGCATCCTTTAGCAGTACAGTGAGATTGTCGAATGAGATTGTACCGCATTTTGTACCGGCAAAGATGAGACAGGCTCCTTAAGATATACCTTCTTGCGGACTAAACCTCCTCTTGTAATGCTATTCACCTGCCTAGAGATCTGCTTCAACAGGGCATTTCTTTCAACCCTTAGACTGGTAGAATGTTGCATTTTGTTGTCAATGAAAGCGACTCAACCTGCGGTTGCAAGTCAGGCAATATCACTTTGCACCCACCACTTTCTATGGCACTAGCAGGAATTAAGGTTTAATGCTCCCTTCGTTTTAGAGGTTAGAAGAGTTGAGAATAATTGATTTGAACAAAAAAAGTAGCAAAAGTTCAACAATCTTTATCTGCTGCTCAGCACACAGCCGCCACAAGGAAAGTGAGGTGAGTAGGTGGTCACTGGTTTTCTGCATTTGTACGGTCGTTTTGACGCCTTGATGAGTGCCTTAATCTTGGATAATCAGGTTAAGGCTTTCTAACATATTGCTAATCTGAAACATGAACAAAATTGTCCATTTGTAGGGCTGCAGTGATGAAACTTACTACGGGTCAAATGAGTAAGTGTGAAGGGCAGGAGGGTGCTGTAATCTGCCATGTATGCAAACACTCATTGAAGTACTGAACAGATTTGCAGGCTCAAGGCCTTGACGACTTCCAGTGCCAACTCACAGACTTACCAAATCAGATGTCGCTAATTCGAGATTGTATTTCTCTACTGTCAACTTCTTTAAGGCTTCCTTCGCCTTATATGCTGCGTCTTGAGCATCAGTTATGGCTTTGAAACGTCTAACGGCGGTTTCAAGGTCCATCTGAAATGTATCAACATTATGTGCTTCTTAACAGACAAAAATACTTGGGATTAGGATTTAGGATTTAGCAGCAAAGCCCACCTCTTCTTCATCGAGTTCTGACAGCTCTTTCAGAAGGTTTAGCGGAATGCTTTGTGATTTTTCCGCCTTGAGGTTCCACTCCATTGCTTTGTCGTAGAAGATTTGATCAACTGTCTCCGCCTTAATGAGTGCCTTTTTGAAGGTCTTCTTCAGCGACTCCTCCATAGTAACGATAGCTATGCCTAACGCCTCTCGAACAGGCTTAAAAGTGGACGAGATTTGGTCGCTTTTGCATTGCAAAAATGTACGAGTAGTTCGAAGGTTGGTAGCAACCCTGTTTAGGCTGCAGATGTTGGACACCTGCTTGCGTATTACCTGGATAGAGAATGAGGACAGGAAAGGGAC